GGTGACTCAAATAACGGAAATTTATTTACTCCAACCTCTGAATTGAGAAGTCCAAAACGGAAGTGCTTGCAGATTTAGTTTCTGGGGTGGGCTGTCTTCAATGGCTACTTTCTGGCTGTGTCCTCCGGTAACCTTTTGTCTGTGCCCCACCCTTATGACTTATTTAACCTTAATTATCTCCATAAAGGCCCTGTATCCAAATATAGTCACACGGGGTGGGTGGGGTTAGGGCTTCAACCTATAAATTTGTGGCAGGGGAACATAATTCCGTCTATAACACCACTCAATCCCTAGTCTCAATCTCCAGAGAAAACCATTTTCAGTCAATTTTTTACTTTAATTCTTCTGGTGGTTATTTTTATAATTCTGTTATATACTTAAACATCTGGTTTTTTAGAGTATAGATATTTAGACAATATAACTTTTGGCTGGATATAATGAAGAATAGGAAATTAGTTGATTTAACATTATCTGCTAACTCCCAGCTTTAAAAAAAAATCTTTGCTAGTATTAATTTTAACATTTTCAGTTGGTTGATTTTATAACTGTAAAAAACAAATTTCGGTTTCTTATTCTATTAACTGTAGACATTCTCTCTTTTCTATGGTGTAAAAGAAGAAATTATCTCCTTTACCATGTCCTATACCTCTCCTCTTTCCCTCCCCCTTCTGACTTTTGTCAGCAATACCATTACTTTGACTTGCCAGGATTTGTAATATTTATATTCTATTGTTAAATATAAGTGAGTCATATAATTTGATTTTAAAACAATTACAGTATGATGGCATACAACTATTATTAATTATAAAACAAATAGTATGTTAAGATCCATTGAGAAAGAAATACATGATTTTCTAAAGTACAACTTCAAGTAATTTTTCAGAAGGAGGATATAAGGAACATTAAACAAATGATTCTCATGTAAATATAAAATGAACATTTTTCAAAGATTTTATTCAATGTATAATTTAATGAAGAAACTAGCAAGATGTTAAAACTGGTCCAAAGAAACACTTAAGAAGCTAAGTATGTATTAGCGATGTACAAATGTTAGGATGATACTGCTGGGTTAGATAAAAAACTGGTTAATGTCCAGCTGGGCCATACACCATGCAGAAGTTATTTGAATCTCCATGAGACGAAAATCTGTTGGACAAGTTAGCCTCTGTCCTGACCGAGTTATAAAATAGCCTAGGCAATAAGAAGTCAAACCCAGCACTGCATCAAAACAACACCCAGTTATCTTCTTGCTTATTTCCATGTTGTGAATTTTGACATAAGTAATCTTACCAAGTACTTACATATATAAACATGTTGTTATTTTGCCCTTATACTTGGATGGTGATTTAACTGGGTAGAGCGTCCTGGGTTTAAAACATTTTTTTCCCCAAAACATTGAAAGCATTGCTTCATTGTCTTCTGATAGACAGTGTTGTTAAAGGTCAATCTGAGTGTTAATCCTTTCTGATACCCAACTTCTCACTCTCTCTCTCTCAAATATTTTAGATCTCCCCTTTCTGACATTTTATAAGAACTGTTCTCATGTGAATTTTTTTCATTCACCCCTGTTAGCGCTAAGGGGACACTTTTGATCTTTATCAGCTCACTTTATCGGCTCAAGATTTTCTCCTTCTGTTTCCCTGGTTATTGTGTTTTCTACATTTTTCTCTAGAACTCCTGTTACACAGATGTTGGACTTTGAGACTGATCCTCTATATCTTTCAACTTTTGTTTCATATTTCACATCTTTTGTTTATTTGTTCAACATTTAGGAGATTTCTTCTACTTCAACTCCCATTCTTTCTATTAAAACTCTTGCTTTGAGGGGCACCTGGGTGGCTCAGTGGGTTGAGTGTCAGACTCAATTTCAGCTCAGGTCAGCATCTCACAGTTGTGAGACTGAGACCTGCATCGGGTACTGTGCAGAGCATGGAGCCCTCTTTAGATTCTCTCTCCTCTCTCTCTCTCTCTCTCACTCTTTCTGCCCTTCTGCCCATCACCTGCTCACCATCTCTCTCTCTCTCTCTCTCTCTCTCTCTCTCTTTCTCAAAACAAAGAAACAAAACAAAAAACCAAAAACTCTTGCTTTGGCAATCCCATTTTAAATTTGCCAAAACTCCTCATTTTTCATTACTACTTTTTTTTAAGTATCTTGCTATTGTTTTAGGATCCAGTTTTTTGTCAAATTTCTCTGATGTTACTAACTAGAATTAAAGAAAAAATACTCTGTCTCTGAACTATGCTTTCCCCCACTGGAGAAATGACCTGTTTGTTCAATTTGGTCTTTTTTTGTGTGCTATTGATGTGCTGTTCATTTTCTTCAGATGTCTGGTAATTGTTGTCATTCACCTATATTTTTGAATGAAAGATAAGGATTGATAACTCAGGTTAATGTTGTATATTTTTCTCCAAGATGCCTTTCCGTGACTGGGGGGCTGATAGTGATGTCTATGTCAATGTCGAGGCTCTGTTGTATGATGTGAGAGCAGAAGTAGGTGAGTGGGCTGCATCTGCCACTGCCCCAGACCAGGAACTTGGCCCCGTTTACACTGATCACTTAATTCCTTTACAATCACTTTGTTGATTTCAGCCTGGGGCAAACACTGAATTCTAACTAACATAGGAAGAGTCAATAGGGGGGCCACATGAAACAGATTTGCAATTAATTACTTTAATTAGCCCCTTGGTCCTGTGACTTTCAGGCTTAGATGTCTGTCTAGGACTATGCAGGGAAGAACACATCCCTCTAGAACTGCAGCCTTATTCGGTCATTGCGTTCTGGGCCACAGCCTTCTCCAGTCGGTTATCTATCAACTCAAGGCCATAGACTTTCCATCCTTCAGAAAGCCACAGAGGCTGGTCTGTTCTGGTGCGATTCCCCCTGTTCACAGTATGGTTTTGGCTTGGTCCCAGTTTTTACTTCTTCATTGTCATTTCAGTGGAATTTGAAAGAGAAGGTCGGTAGGTGCCAGGACTCCATTCACTGCTCTGAGCTAGAACATTTATATCTTTTAAAACAGAATGCATTGCTACCAAGTTTTACCTGTCCCCTCTACTGTGTTATTATACATTTTCCCCCAAAGACTCCAAGCAGTTAAGAGTATTTATTTTCAAACTGTTATTGTTTTGAATTCTTGTGAATACAGTTTTCATTTTTTGCCCTCACTTTTGCCTTATTGCCACTCTCATGGTACTTCCCAGAATTATACTCTCTTCTTCTAATTGGCTGCTTCTAGTATACAGTAGGTTATCCATAAAGCAAGAATCATAAACTTTGAGGGTGTTTTGAGAGACACTCCTATGGGCAACATGTCTAAGCTTTAGGGCATGAAGTTTGTGACATCTATTCTGATTGGCCTGACACTGTTTATCCTGTTATTTGGGTCTATCTTCAGATAGTTGAAAGCTGCCAGATAAATTAAACTCCAACCAGGCATTATAGATTTATTACCTTCACTAGAGCACTATTTAAATTCCTAATGTCAACACTAATCACATTTTTTCTCTTAGCCATCACTGCAGGTCAATGGATCATAATTCAATTTCTCATGAATAAGTTTTTTACATAAATACTATTTATTATCAAGACACAATTTTATACTTAAGTTATTGGCAGCCAATAATTTGTTTTAATATGATTTAATTAGCAAATTTTTCAACTGTTTTTTTTTCCTGTCTTGAGTTTTAACACATGTAATGGTAACCCTAAAAGAAACTCACAAATTAGACAAAGCAATACTCTAGGATTCAGCACAATCATTTCAAAGGAAGAAAATTTATTTCATGTTGTGAATGAAAATTTTAGTAACAACTGTGTTGAAGTTTCTTTTCTAGGACTGTTTCCAAAATGTTATCTCAACTACTCGAGATAAAACTCACTATCAGGATGTGAGATTTCAAAATGTTACAGGTGAGAAACACAAGCATCACACATCTGTTTAATTTCATTAGTTACAAGTGAACTGGTGGATAAGTCATGATTTCAGTGTGTAGAGTATTTCTATTAAGATGCTGAGGTCTCAGTGATGATCGGAAATGGGTATTGCTATGGGGAGATTCTAGGTGAATCAGGGGGACCATCTCTGGGGCCCCATTGGGTCCACTAACCCCACTCCACAGACTTACAACAACAAAAGCTTCAAATTCCTTGGTGTGGTTCATGAGCACTGAGAAGCAAATGCCATCTCTGCTGGGGATGTAATGAAGGGGCTGTCTTGACAGATAATCTGGAGAGTACATCTATAGATAAAGATAGATCCTAACCATTTTAAGTAAGGGAGCACTGTTGGGGAACAGATTTTATGTCCAATGATCAACAGGCTGGAAAGAGCTAGTAGTTTCAGAAAGAAGAAACTTCTCTTGATAGCTTTAGTGTCACTTTACCTGAGTGCTTGACAGCTTTAGTACTATATTATGGGTTGGAAACAGGTAAGTAAAGAAACCAATCCCTGAAGACAAGTTAAATGTTGTCAATTGAATCTGCACAGTGACATAGTAACTCCAAATAACCAAAATGTGCAAAACTTTTATTCTATAATATGAATACTAACCTGTTTTGGCCTGATAATTGTAGCTGTGTAGATCTAGTAATTAGATGAGTAATTCAGATCCAGCCCAATTGGGTCAGTCCATAGAACGTTTGGTTCAGATTTCACAACCAAAAATGAACCAAGAAATTTCCTGTGTTGTACCTCTAGACTCCAAAGAGAAATAGATGGCAGCCCTACAAGATAGGAAAAACAGATTCTACTTTCTTAGTGCTTTTCTTTTTCCTTTGTCATGGAAACATGTTTTAAGGGAAAGGGATACACATAGAGATTTAAAACTGGAAGAGGCCATCAAGTTCCTTCATTTCTTTCTTTTTCTTTTTTTAAGCATATTTATTTTGAGAGAGAGAGCACATACACACACATATACACACACGTGTGCGCGCGCACACACACACATATTGGGGGGAAGGGCAGAGAGAGGGAGAGACAGAATTCCAAGCAGGCTCTGAGTTGTCAGTGCAGAGCCCAGTGTGGGGATTGAACTCAGGAACTGTGAGATCATGACCTGAGCCGAGATCAAAATGTTGGATGCTTAACCAACTGAGTCACAAGGTGCCCTAGGCTCCTTCATTTCTACAGACTTAGAGGTGGCCCAGTGATTTGCACAAGGTCCAGCAGTTACCTCGCATCCAGCCTGCTTTGTTAATCACTGGGTGATTTAGTGTGCTCTGCTCATAATTCCCACTTGCTGCTGCTTAGAAATATTTCTAGAGTTCACGTCTTTTATGCTATGGGACTAGCCAAGAAGAACAATTCTTAGTTTGCTCAGCCACATAAAAACTGAAATTGCCAGTTTTTTTCTGGGCAACACATAACAGTTGGGTCACATCAGGTAGATTCTTGTGAAGAGATGATTAGTAGTTTCAGAGTCTGAAAAAACAAAGCTAAGCCTTTCCCCTCCTTCACCTCATAATAGCTGCTCCTGTATCCTGTTTGACTTTTCAGTTTTGAGGAATTCACATTCTCTTTGGTTGTATCAGGGAATGTGAAAATGGACCAAGCCAACATAAAGCTAATTTTATATTGTGGTCACCAGCTAAGTTAATAGCATTTGCCATTTGCTGAATCTTCAGTATGAAACTCTATCTAAAAGTGAGAAGCTCAGTGTTGACCTAGTTCAGTTGATATTTGTTGAGCATCTTACACAATGTTGTCACTGCAGTTAGCATCAAGCAAGTCTTCTAGAAAGTGTCAGTTATTTTGATATCACCTGGGATTCAGACGTGCTGGTAGCTTCTCTTCCTTCTGGGAGATGATTAGGTTAATGCTACCTCTCTCCAGAGATGAAATTTTGCCCCATGAAACATCACCTGCACAAGGGTTAGGTCAGTCATCTTGTGTATGTAATGGGTTAGGAATACATGTTCAAGAAACCAGCCTTTTATAAGTCCCATACCACTGCGGCTAGTGTAGGGACAGCTTACAAAACTGTTTGATTATGCTCTTTTGAGATGTGGCTCTGCTTATTTGGGGTTAGATGGGAGTTTTCAAGCAGTTCATAGTCATCCTGCATGTTGGGGAGACTTTGCCTCATGTTCCGGGTAACCTTTTGGACCTGAATACCAGTGCTATTCTTTGGAGAAACCCTCTGGCCTCGGTATGCCTGAGCCTGGCGTTTACAGATGCCAAACTTGCTGAGCAGGATAAATACATCCCTCTGGAAGGTTTTTGTGAAAATAGCATAGAGAAATGGATTGGCACAGGAGTTAAGTGGATAGAAGAGAACTAGCAAGATTTTGGAGTTGGTAACAGTGATGAGAGGCTTGTTCATAAGTGCTGACAGAGCATAGAATGAGATTGGAGCCATGCACATGAAGTCAGTGAAGATCAACACAGCCATCCTTTTCGCAATTTTGGTGTCTTTGTCCCCGGTGTTGTACTGGGGATTTCGGACTGTGATGTAGATCTTCACGTAACAGGAGCAGACAATGATAAAGGCGACTATGTTGAGCAACAGAACAAGGATAATATATGCCAGGGCAAGAGGTGTCTCAGTGTCCATGGGCAGGCAGATGCTGACCTTGGCATAGCTGCTTATTCCCACCAAAGGGAGCAGGGCCAGCAGGAAGCAGCAAACCCAGCCCCCAACCATGATGGCATATGCGTGCCTGAGGCGCATCTTCCGGTCCAGGCGCATGGCGAAGGTAATGGCATACCAGCGCTCCAGAGTGATGACTGTCAGTGTATACACTGACAATTCACTGGCAAAGACAGTGAAGAAACCAGCCGCATTGCATCCAGGGCCTGTCTGCCAGTCAATGGCATGGTTGTAGTACTCAGAATGAGTGTAGAGGTCTACAGAGGCAATGAGGAGCAGATACATTCCCATGCAGAAATCTGCAAAGGCCAAGTTGCACATGAGAAAGCGTGGGACAGTCAGTTTGTAGTGGCTGGTAAGGAGGATGATCAGGACAAAGACATTGCCCAGGAGAGCCAGCAGACTAACAAACCACACCACAATCCTCAGGAACTTGTAGCCCATTATGTCTTCACAGGGGTTGAACTCATCTGACTTGGGAGTACACACCATGTCTTCATTGCCTCCACAAACAGTGTAGTCATAATGGCTATCGAAGGCCTGTAGGGTCTCTTCTTGTGGGTTTTTAAGCTCCTGGCCAAAACCAAGGATCTCGTCTTGTTCTTCAAAGAAGACATAATAATGAGAGTTGCTGCGAGTATCCTGGAACTTAGAGTTGTCCTTGTATCCAGCATGGCTGTCACCTAGATACTCTTCATATTCCTGGTCGAAGGGACCATTCAAAGCATTCACAGATTTTCTCTGACGCAGGCTCCGAATACTGCTGTCATTACACATGAAGGACTCAAGGATTCTGTAAGGCAACAGAAAGAAGTCACTGCTTGCTGAAAACCCCTAATGGTCCCCCCAGGACTTAGCAAAATATGCAGAATACTTACTGTGATCTACATGAGTCGACAAGATTCTACATAGTCAGGCTTGTTTCTCCTTCATTACTTCCTAGTACCCACCCTACCCCTTCCCCTGCTGTACTCCAGTGACATTGGCCCTTATTTCTCATCTGCACCCAGTTCAAGAACAATAATGAGTAAAAAAGCATGGATGGTAGAGTCAGTCTGCCTAGGTTAGGATTTGGTTCTACCATTTACTAGCTGTTCACCTTGGGCAGGCCTATGAAGCTTGGCTTTTCCCATTTTTATTTATTTATTAAAAAAAATTTTTTTAACGTTTATTTATTATTGAAAAACAGAGACAGAGCGTGAGCAGGGGAGGGGCAGAGAGAGAGAGGGAGGCACAGAATCTGAAGTAGGCTCCAGGCTCTGAGCTGTCAGCACAGAGCCCGATGTGGAGCTTGAACTCAGAAACCACAAGATCATGACCTGAGCTGAACTTGGACGCTTAATCGACTGAGCCACACAGGTGCCCCTGGCTTATCCCATTTTTAAAGTGGAAGGAGTATCTATTTCATATAGGGTCGTTAAAGGATCAGATGAGTATATTTTTTTAAAACTCTTACAAAGAGCACCTGGAACATTGATATGCCATGTATGTGTTGGTTATTATTATTACTATTCAGAGCTTTTGAACTCCATGTTCCCTTTGCCCGAAAAACGCATAGCTGCTTCTACTCATTATTCAGTTTTAAATTCAAATGTTCCTTTCTCAGTGAGGCCTTCCCTGATCTCCTTAAATAAACTGTCCTACTTTGTGTTTATTTCCTTTGTAGTAGTATCTGATATCTTCTTACTTGCTTGTTTATTTTCTGACTTCCCCCACTAGACTGAGAACAAAATGCGGGAGGGCTTTTGCCCGACCTATTCATTGCTAGGGGATTGGACAGTGCCAAGCACGTGCTAGGTGCTTAATAAATACTTATCAAACAAATGAATAAATGGACACGATCATGCAGGCAGGCTCATGGAAGTGAGATTTAGTTTTTCACTAGCCTGCCATACTGACATCAAAAGGGATTCTTTAATTTGTTTCAGCTGCAGAAGCAGATGTTAATTCATCTATTGAGCTCTGGTTAAAATGCCTAAAGGACTGCCTATTGCAGCTTGTTTAGAGGTTAACGAGAAAACTGGACCCTGCCCTTGAGGTACGCTCTAGCCTCCCACCCACCCCTGGTGCTTTCCTACCCTGAGGCCACACAGCCTCAGTATCAAGCCTGCTCTCACCACCCCATACCTGACTTCTGGCTTTCTGCAGGCATTAGGCCATACTGGCCTTCTTTGCACAGGTGTTCAACTTTCCCCTTTGCTTCTGCCCCCACAACTAGATCCCATTTTATTTCTTTTTAAAAAAATATTTATTTATTTTTGAGAGAGAGAGAGAGAGAGAGCACGAGCAGGGGAGGAACACACACACACACACACACACACACACACACAGAATCTGAAGCAGGCTCCAGTCTCTGAGCTGTCAGCACAGAGCCTGACACAAGACTTGAACTCATGAACCCATGAGATCATGACCTGAGCCGAAGTCAGACGCTCAACCAAATGAGCCACCCAGGCGCCCCTAGATCCCATTTTATTTCTGACTACAAATATGAGTCAGAAAGTCAGCCAGTAGATATTATATAGAAACTGAGCAGAAGTGAGTAAATGATAAATGAAGGTGGTGTTAGGACACAAGAGGGGAAATAATGCAGAGTAAAAATGTAAGTGAAGAAAAGATTCAGACAAAGCACAGAGAGAAGAGGCCATTCCTCCTTTGCAGCTCGTAAGCAGCCTGATAATAAAATAATACATACCATAGCTAATGTTTTTTGAGAATTTAAAATATTCCAGGTAATTGTGATAGGTGTTTTCTATTCAGTTTCTCATTTACTCTTCTCAAACCCTCTGTGAATAGTAACATTACCGTCTCCACAGAGGCTCAGGGAGGTTGAGTAAGCAAGCTGGAATAACACAACTAGAAAGTGGCCGAGCTAGGGTACAAAGCCAGTTGACTAGGAATCATGTAGTATGATCTCTACAAGATTCTATATGATCCCCCCCCCACCACCTCCCTGCTGTGATCCGGTGACACTGGTCTTATTTCACATTTGCAGTCACTTTGAATCTGCAGTCATTGTGTCCCACGGATTTCATGATGCTCATGGATGCTTCCATTCTTTCTACCTGGCTCTCAAACCACAGACCTTTCCCAAACCCAGAAATTAATTCAACTTGCACTGAAACCTTTTGTTGCTTTTTCCAGACACCTGTATTTACCCTCTGATTTTCTTCTGATTCTTAAAAGCACAGCAGTGGCTTGGATAAGAAAGGTCAGCCCGTGTGAGGTGAAGGAAACTCAAGGTAAGTGGAAGTTTCTTTAGAGTCCAAGTGTTTCTTGCTATCAATTCCTTCAGGTGCTCCAGGCCTTTGGATGGCAGGGCAGTGACACTGGTGTAAGAGACGTCCCTAGGGAGGACAGAACAGAGTAGTTCAGAGAGGCGGTGAGCAGCCAGAACCTTCTACTTCTTGGCTAGAAAGTCAGGCAGGCCTGAGATTAACAGGGGTGTGTTCTCTTCTGCTGTTGAATATAGACTCAGTTCTTTAGATACTGCCACCGGCTGAAAGAGGAATATTTGGTTTCTAAGTTGATATGTTACAAAGGACCCCCCATTTTTGTCACTTGGAATTCCAGTATGCATCGATACAGATAATAGCTTCACAGACATTTTCTTTTATTCATTGCAATACATGCAAACTCTTGGAATCTGAGATGGATATCAATTTTATTCCAGAAATTACAACATATAACTACTAAAGTGTCTCACAACATAAGAGAAATATATTTGAATGGGTTTAAAGGGGCCTGAATTGCTCTCAGTCTCTATGGGGTCTAGGGTTTGGGGATTAATAAGCTGTTCACTGATATGGGCCAACACCAGTGTTATGAAAATCTTCTCCTAATGATGCAGAGCTTGGGAGTTATATAGTGAATTCCTGACTCTGAACAACCTCCCTACGCTTCCTTTAGGAGGCTGTCAACATATTTCCTGTAAAGAAAACTCCAGTATTTACATTATAATCAAGTCACCTCTGAAAATAATGAGGAAGGTGGTGAGGCTGGAAGCAACACAGACACTAGTGTTAGTTACTCAAGTAGAAGTAATTCACATTGTAGTGTAGCATTTCCTATTCTTTTCTCAGACCCAGACAGTCCAGATTATATATCCTCTCCATCGTTTTGTCTTGCTTGCATTGAATAATAGCTTGAATAAAACCATGAACATTTAACCTAATATCTCATTTTATATTTTATCAATTAAAATAGTCACTGAATAGTCTTAGATTTTACATGATTTTTACACGATTTTTTTATTATGATTTTTTAAATAATTACACTTAAAATGTTTAATATAGTTAGTAGTACTGATTAGCAAGTGAATTCCAATATTTACAGCTTCTTCCTCCATGTCATTGCCATTGGACTTAGCTGGGATTTACATTCTCTGGGTTCAAGGCTGCTAGAACATGCTAGTCATTTTTTACAAACACAAAGCTCTCACATTAAGTCCGTTCTTACTACAGAGCTGTAATTCTCAGGGAAGGGTGCCACATTTGCTATTCTGTGTTGTATGTACTTTAAAAATTCTATAATTCAGCATTTCTCAAACTTGCCTGGTGGTAAGAATTACCCTTGGCACTCATTACTATATGATCCCAGCTAATTTTGAAAACTAAGCAAGTATGTGTGGGAAACTGGCATAAATGAACCACTTTGCAGTTAATGAGCGAGTTGAGGGATTTTAGAGCCAACCATAAGGGGAATTGTGAAGTAAGTGAAGCTAGACGTTACTCTTCTGCCTCATCTGTCCTGTTGATGCTGTATTTTCCCTTTTAGACATGCTGTCTTCAAGGTGTTGCTATCTTCCTGCCTTCGGTTTTCTGAAAGCAACTTATGTGTCTCTTTATGCAGTGATGCAGTCATGTCAGTGAAACAAGAGAGCATCTCTTGGCTCATTTTCCCTGCTTTGCTATCTGTTGGATACACTGATTGCATGTGTTCATCTGAAAGAGCTTATCCTTCCAAGTACTGCGTTTGCATTTTAATAGCTATTTCTTGAGAAAATACTTTAGGAACCATCCCAATTACTGAATGGCAAAACACCCCAAAACTAAGTGGCATCAAACAACAGTCTTTTTATTGCTAGCATAGCTTTTGTGGGTCAGAAATTTGAACAGGGCGTGGCAGGGGTGGCTTATCTCTGCTCTATGATGTCTGGGGCTCAGCTAGGAAGACTTGCCAGGGCAAGTCAGTGATGGGGGCTGGTATTATATGCAGACTCCTTCACTTACATGCCTGGGCCAGGGCTGAGACGACTCAAAGCTCAGCTCAGCTGGACTGTTAAGATGGCTTCTCCATGGGGCTTGGGCTTCTCACATCAGGGCAGTCAGGTTCTGAGAGGGAACATTTTGAGAGGAAGCATCTGGGGTGTCCCAAGAGAACTAGTAGATTGAAAGGTGGGGAACATAGAACCCATCTCACAATTGGAGAAGTGTCAAAGAATTTGGGCCTTAGTTAAAAAACAAACAAACGGGCGCCTGGGTGGCGCAGTCGGTTAAGCGTCCGACTTCAGCCAGGTCACGATCTCGCGGTGCGTGAGTTCGAGCCCCGCGTCAGGCTCTGGGCTGATGGCTCAGAGCCTGGAGCCTGTTTCCGATTCTGTGTCTCCCTCTCTCTCTGCCCTTCCCCCGTTCATGCTCTGTCTCTCTCTGTCCCAAAAATAAATAAACGTTGAAAACAAACAAACAAACTGCTATAGTAATCCATGTGGTGAGGATAGGATTGAGGCAGATATTTGGTGAAAACTACCAATTTGCCATTCTGTAAATCAGTGTTTCTTGTCCAGGCACCAGCGTGGACCAGCATCAGAATTACATGCAATACAGACTCCTGAGCCATACCCCAAACCAACAGGAGGAATCTGCATTACTTAAGATGCTCTCTAGGTAATTTAGAATCTACCTCAATTCTCAGAACATTTTTATGAAGCAGATGGAAATTAAATCGAAGACAAAGAAATGAGGCATGTTATATCCAAAGAGACTCAGCAAACAAGGGTAACTATAGTTTGGATCTAGAGTTCAGGTTCAGTGCTCCAGGAACTCTTCTCTACTCCCTATCATCAATCAGGTCTCTGGAGTCTTTGAATATATATCCAGGCGCAGTAACCCTCCAGGGACTCATTAGGAATCTGTTGGGGAGAAACTGATTCCATGCTGTGTCTGAGTGTCTGCAACCCAAGCATATCTCAGATGGCCACCAATTGGGTCTCAGAGGGGCTGAATTGGGAGGGTGCTTGGACATGCATGGAGAAAAGCAGGTGTTGGGAAATGTGTAAAACTTATGATAGAAACATCTGTAACATAATGGGTACATGGCATATAGTAGGTGTTCAATAAATGTCAATTCCCGTCTTGCCCAATTTGGAGTTTATCTTGAGTCAGAAGCAAGGAACCCAGAAAATATAGCTCCAGGCCAGATCTTGACTTACATATCCAACTGCTTATTTGATATCTCATCCTGGATGCCTCATAGGCAACTTCAATTTAACAGGTCCATCCTACACTTAGCTTTTGATTCCCCATCCCCACCCAACGTACTCTTTTCCATTAAATCTAGCAGAACAAAACAAAACAAACATCCAAAAAACTTTTGAATCCATGTATTTCCATCTCCAGTTTAAACTCTCTAGTCTAAGCTAATGCCATCTGTTGGTACAATAGCTTTCTTGTCTACCCTTCCTCCCTTCCAGTCCATCCTTCACATAGCAGCCAAAGTAGTCATCATATATGGGTTGAGTCATAACATATGGGTTGAATAACCTTTCAGTGACTTTCCAATGTACCATGAATAACACTTACTCTTCCTGCCATGCTCTTTAATGTCCTACAGATCTGGCCTATGCACTCATCTCAGGCACCTAAGGCCACTTACAGCCCAAATTAGAATCTATTGGAACCATGTGACTCCCTGCTGTCAAGAGCCACTTGATGAAGCGCTAACTATCCATTAGGCCTACTGTTACCTAAAGTGCTCCTGAGCTGCTGCTCTTTCCTGATGTAGGTCGCTCCACTCATGCTACTTTGGTACTTTATAGAGTCAAGCAAGAGGACTGACTGCTTTTTCTCGTTATTGGGGATTTAACCCCTCTTGCAGAGAGCTACAGTTTTAATCAGATATAATCTGGCTGCTATCAGAAAGGAAGGTAGTTCCTTTATACTTGAACACGGTTGTAACACTGACTCTCCACTCAAAGAATTCCTGATTCTTCCCTCCAAGCCTACTGGTGTTTATTTCCTATTTTCTGTCTACCATCTTGTGGGGCTTGTGTTCTCATGGAGTCTCTTTTGCTCTTGCCCTACATTTATGCCATGAATGTCTATACTAAGATGCGATTGAGCTATACCCCTCATCAGAGGATAGCTCAGTTGTTTATAAGTCTAGCCATTTACAGTCTCCTAGTTCTCATTACAACCACCTTAGTTTAGGTGTGAATTACATTTCACCTGAGGTGTGCAAAAACTTTCTGCCTGGTCTTAGAAACCTTCTACTAATCCCACTTTCAGACTTAAAGACAGAATGTTCTTTCTAAAACTCGGATCTCAACGTATTGCTTTCCAGCTGGAAGCCATGGTTCCTCCAAAGTCTATACAATTCTAGCTTCTGAGAAGACTGCTCCTTGTCCCCAGTGGAAATTTCTTCCTAAATCTTGTGTAGTGTTCTTGATTTTTTCCCTTTCATTGGAGGAAATGTTTGAGTAATTTCTTAGAAAGGCTATATATGAAAGAGATATTTTCTGCATTCTTGCGTGTCTGAAAATGGCTTTTTTTCCCCATCCTTATATTCAGTTGATACTTCACCTGGCTGTAAAATTTCAGGTTGTAAGTAGTTTTTCTTCAGAATTCTAAAGGCTTTACTGAATTCTATCACTCATTGTTGCTTTTGGTAAGAAAGATGAGATTTAGTTTCTTATTCTTTGGTCATTGACTGGTTTTTACTCTCTGGTAGCTTTTATGGCTCTCTCTCTCTCTTTAATTTCCAGTTTTACTGAGATATAATTGATGTATAACATATGTAAGTTTAAGGTATACAACATGATGATCTGATACATGTATATTTTGTGAAATGATTATACGGCACTCTCTTTGTTCCCAGTGTGAGATTTCATGAAGGTAACCCTTGATATGGATCTTTTTGCACTTATTGTGCTGGCCACTGAGGGTGGGGGTGGAGCCTTCAATCTGGAGGGCTATGTTCTTCAGCTTTCGGACAATTTTTGGTATTGTTTCCAGGATAACTTACTCCTTGTATTTTCTTTGTTCCCTCTCTGTAATTCCTAGGAAGTGAAAAAGGAACTTCCTATATTCATCAGACTTATTCCCATTTTTTCTTGTGATTTCTCCTATTA